AGCGTAATGACCGAAGCAGTTCTTTAGGTCCCAGACGACCAGGAACAGGGTGAAAGCTAAGAAGTACTGTTGGCGCGTTATTCGAATCGTCTAAAGTTACATGCTGATGTTGCGAAACATCAGAAACGCTGTTACCTACTAGTTAGAGAACGTTTGTTGACTGCTAACTTACGATGTTACAAAAGTAGGATCGCGAGTACAACGTACAAGAAAATAACTTCTATTGAAGAAGTGTTCCATAGAGAGTTATAGCACACGTGGCAATAATGATCCTGCCTTAGTTTTTTTCCGTTGATCATTGGTGGGTCCTCACAAACGCCCAGCGACGTTCCACTTCTCGAATCGAATAAACTGGAAAAATTACTATTAGCAAATGCACAGATACACGTATAGGCGGACAAACAGAACTGGGACTTCCTATACGAAGCATGATATAGTAACACTAATAACGAGTGTCTTAGCGACTTGCCCACATTGAACCCGTCCACAGATACGTCAGTCTGATCAGACAAGGAAGGGGTGGGCTCCAGAACTGTGATTTATCGCCGCTATTATCAAATCGTCGTTTAAATTCTATTTGAAAAGTGCTAATCCGTTTCCATTCCGTGAATGAAAATTTCAGACGTCATATACAGTCTACGGATAGACACCCGTTATTGCACCGAAATACAGAAAATAAAACAATCACTTATTACTTAGACGATGCGTTTAAAATGATTGCCATAAATACATATTAGTAGAAGCGCGTTACGACGCAAATAACTGACACTGCTTATATAGCGTAATAGTTTTTTTTTTTTTTTTTTTTCACTTGGAAATATTTGATCGATAAAAGAAACTCGCAGAGTAGAACCTTCGTACCCGCATCTTTTTAGTATAATATATATGGATAAACTGATAGGGATCCACCACATCACGAGTAATTTATGATTATATCACAATCGCCTATTTGTTTGGTGGCATTCGGCGTCAGACGACGGTAAATGAGCTGTGTTCCTCTAAATTTACTAATCGATCAGCCATAGAAAGGAGAAGCAAGCTATTAACACTCCTATAGATATTATACGAACATGGATCGCAACTGAAGTTTACCTATTGGTGGTTTAATATTCTACTTGAAACTAGTTTCACCTTTGTCGTTTCAATGGACACCTATAAATTGTATGCGCTTAAGGCGCACTCCTCATTCAAATAGACTTTTTACTTAGATTATGTAAAAATTTAATCGAATAACAGGAAATTATACAAAGTATGATTGTGCTGTGTGTATTTTTCGTATAAGCACGCGCTGACCACTCAGCAGTAACTATTGTATAGCATTCTGACGATAGTACTTGTTAAATGATTTAATTTTCGTTCACAGTATGTTCGCGAATGAAACAGAAGATGGTGTCAAATCGGTCTGGGTCACTATCGGCCGCTTGGCACTTGATTGAAATTTGACAACGTTACAAAACAACGCACAGAAGGACAATTTATATATTTATTTTTTTTTGTTTCGCTCTGTCGGGATTGTTCATCGTTAGTTGCTGCTGGCGTTGAGCCTAAACTGCTACAAGACATATATATGTGTATATATATATATATGTATGCGGCGCGTCGTTCGCGGCTCTTTCAGCGGTGATGCTAGCGCCGCAAGTAAGATCGATTTGGTGTTAAGTGACTTGAGCAAGTACGGCTCGAGAACAGAATAACAACGAAATGAGCGGTCTACGCCACGACAACAGCCACAGCAGACGCCGTAAACAATAACAATACTAACAATATTAACGTTATGTTTCCATAACGGCTGCTGTACAGTGGCCACGATAGCTACCGCCTTTATGGAATACCCTCGTCTATGGTCGAATTTCTTAATGACGATTAGCTACTGTATAAACCGTAAGGACAACATCAACGGTGCCAGTGACGCTGGCAGCGTCAGCGGTACCGGCGGGCGTAAGAGTAAAACGATGTCGATAAGACCACAACGATGACGCGAACTAAGTAAAGTCAAACGATGAGAAGATAACGATGATACCATTACTATACACGCACACATAATCCGATACACAAATCAAAGCCAGCCCATGGCTACTATATGACCTGCTCCACGGTGCTCCAATACGAACGACAGTATTGGCACAGACCCAGTAAACGTAACCACTTCTCTGCACCTATAAGACGTTTGTATACGGGTCTGGGTCTCTGTGTGCGTGTAATGTATACGTATATACATATGTATGTTTGATACGTGACTGTCGCAGTATATCCGGTCATATTGTTAATAATTCTATACGTTTATACGGTATGTTTACTTGTAGGTGTGCGTTCAAACACAGAACTCCGTATCAGCAGAGCCATTACCTTGTTGATTGTTGCCACCGGAAGGAAACTCGCAGACAGTCGAATATGTATTTCGAGGGAAGTTGCGGAAGGGAAAATAATTGCATGGATCGAAGCCATTCAAATAATGTGGATACTGTATGATTGCTAATAAGTGGGGTCATTGATTGAGCGTTGGCGCTACGATTTAGTTGACAGGGCTCTTCACGATGTCCTGTGCTATATTGTGGATAGATACAATCGGAGTCCACTTTTTCCAGTCGTTGTAATGCAGTATGAAGACACTTGATTTGTTCATCAATCAAATATATCTCACGTGTACGTCTCTTGTTGTATCTCTCTACTCACGTGTGAGGGAAAACACTAAGAGCTATGCCAATTGTATGTAGATATCATAAATTATATTTACTTTAGATAGCTGAGTCTAATTCGCCTTAAAAGTATCATAAATGCTGAGCTAACCGCCATGACGAGCGGAAGTGCAAAAAAAAATCTAGTAACCCATTCCCAGCAGAAGATAGTACCCTAACAACGACTACAGGTGTCAGCCCATCGATGATTTATCGTTCACGTATTTTCTCTAGGCATGGCAAATGCTGATGCAGAAAACGGTTCCGTATTCATGTTGGTGCAGCGCCGCAGTGCAGTATCAAAAATATTGCAAAGGCTGGCATTGATGAGTCGTTAATTAGCGAAGTTTTTTTTTCAACTTCAACCAAATAGAACTTACACACAGAAAAGGCATCTTTTGCGTTAGTTGTTATTATTCGTCAATATCAGTCGAGTTAGGGTAAACGCAGGAAAGGATCGAAAGGTGGAATTCCATCATCTATTATTTATGCTTCTAAAAGTTCTATGAATCTCTAAAATAATTTGAAGGAGCGTATCATGCGCTAGAAGGACTTCCAGTGATTCTTCGATTCTCGTGAAGAGCGAACGTATGGCCTATAGAGAGAGACAGGTAGTTCTTTTCATCTCACGTTTAGATAATGGAGTGGAGAACTTTGTCCTGACTCATTGGCAGACGATGGCACTGCAATTCAACTATGAAGTCGCAGTAAGGCTGTCGAGTTGTATAACAATGCATTTGATCCCCGCTATTAAAACCGCTCGCTTATTAGGGGCAAAAAAATTTACTTAACTAAACATAATAGACAAAATGCGCCGCAGAGATCGATAGTCTAACTGACCGTCGAATACTTTGACAGGGTTTATTTTTGTAAAAGTCTTTCAAACTGAGCACTGAGTTTTGCGTATGGACGTATGTTCCGTGCAATTAAACCTTTCCGTTAACAAGTGGTAAATTATAATTTTATATATACGTATAACGTTAGGACACTTACAGGCTCTGTGAACTCAAGCTTATTAACTTGAATTCGTTTTACTCTATTTGTTTACCCTACTCTTCGTTGAAGGTTACAGCCTTGGCACCTATTGATCATGCATAAAGAAGCTTCATTCCGCGCACGTTAGTGAACTAATGCTGTGCTAGTTTTAATTATGCAATATCATAATTTTTAATTAGCTGAAATTAATAAATTGACTGATAACATAGCATAGGTCCCAGTAGAGTCTTTAATTACCTGAAATAGATAGAAGGATAGAAGGTCCCAATGGAATCAAATGGCCGTTTGACCTTTGTTTGGGGTCGAAACGATTTTATCGCATTGGTCAATTCGGGCAGGTATTTGTGTGGGGCCACACTAAATTCGTATGAATAATTGACGTTCTTTAATGAGACCATTCAATATATGCTCTGGTAATTTTTAGTCCTGAGCGGACTTTTGCGATATGGGATGGGGTGCGTGTCAAGAGAACAATGCGTTAGAGAAAGGGTATGGTCATATTCTGGACGAGATGCTGGGTCGGTTCTCCTTGCATCTCGTAGTCAGTGGAAAATTGCAGTAGGACTCGAGTAAGATCCGGCCACACCGGATTCCGCGAACATTGATCGGCCTCAACAGGCCTCTGCTTGGCCATGGTAGAGCATTGGGAAGATTTTTTCCAAATCTCTCTCTAGTCCAGATGCTTTTGTAGAAACTTTTGGGTAAGTGTGCACTGGGACAAGTATTCTCTGCTATGTCTCCATGCACCGCCATATTGTGCATTACACCTAATTTCAAGGTCTGTTTACTGACATAAGAAAGCTTATAGGTTTTTAATGTAGCAAAAGAAAAAATGAAGCGGGCGCTTTTTAACCACCACTTAGACGACTTCCTGTAACAGTGACGAATCAGGTAAACGATGATTATAATCACCTACTCCACAACGCAGGTGGGTCGGGTATTCAGAGATATTTTTGTTTCTCGTAAACGATAGGAATTGTTTACGCGCCTAGTATATATATATATATATATATCGCTGAATAATATTATGCCATCTTAATGAATCGAAGGGAAGCGTCACAACAAATTAAAATATTTTCAGTAAGGACTGGTTGAAATACAGTGATCTTTATACCTTTCGTTACGTTCATATTAAAATAGATGGCCTTGTTCGTTTGATTCGCGTTCATTAGGCGTGCCAGCAACTGCTATATCATTCAAATTGATAAGTGCGAATAACCTTAGCAGAGCCTGTTACGGACGTTGTGAAACGTCTAAGTATGTTCTACTTTGTGCAGTTAAAAAAAAGAAAAAACCAATAGCAAATACGTTCTACCAATATCTCCTTACCAACAGAAGAAGCCGCCCCTTTCCTTAGCAGGGTAATGTTCAATCCGTCGCCTAAAAACGAGTTATTTTCGTCTTCGATTTCCAGCAACAGCCAACACCATTCGGCCGAAACGTATACTTTTTCCATTACGACTTCTGAAAGAAGTGACGACACAAAAAAATCATATTAAACATATCCGAAGTACTAAATTGGCATGTGTAGCGGAGGGCAAGAGGAACGAAGCTAGACAGGGAGCCAAAAACAAATTGTCTTAATAATTCTTTGCCAATCTTTATTGAATGATCGCTTCTCTATGTTCTGTTCCGATGCTAACCATACGCGTTACCAAAGTAAAACTCTCAAATAATAACCTAGCCTGCAGACCAGTATCAAAACTAGGCCAGTACTTAGGCCTGTTTTGGCATCGCTCAATTATATTCGTCGTAAAGCAGATATTCGTTCGGTAGTAGTAACACAATTATTATTTACGCATTCAGTACCAAACGACATTGTAGGATAATACGTAAAAACAAGAAGAAGTCAAGCCGGAGCAAGGGATAATAGCGTCGCACCTGGCGCCGCTTAATTATACAGTGCGAAACAGGCTATGGGCAATGCTAATCTGTAGTTAGACAGCTGTTGAAACTGTGTGAGATTTGTTTATCTTAGAACAGCACGGGTCTGGAACCATTTCAACGAGCGTTTACCTTGTCTAGCTCAGTTTGGTACGAGAAGCCCATCTGACATAGCAGCACGAACTCTAGTATTTCCATTACTAAATTCACTGTGGCATCAAGCTATTCATCATGAGTTAATGGAAGGTTAGTTCGCATCGCAGTACAGACTCATATATATTCTGGTCTAAATGGAAAAACAAGGACTAGCAACTCTCTATGCCTGTACTACGTCTATGTCGAAAGAAACCACTTGAAATCCAGATTTGAGATAGAAAGAATATTTTTTTTTAAATCAATGTAATGGCTCAAGCACTCGAAAAGGATCTGATAAGGTAGGACAGGCCTAGCGTGCATCTGCCTAACCGCTTGTCTACCTTCATTTTTTACTTTTCATGGGCAAAAACGGGTGGCATTAAGTCTAATGTTTACCACCAGGTAAACTTGAGTCACGCTAATCTTTGGCTGTATTCATGATTTCATGTGTAAACATCACTTCCGTATATAAAAATTTGTATAATTAGCAAAATAGATGTCCGATTTATGGTACTTGACACTGAAGGCATAAAAACTATCCAGCTAACAGATGCCAAGAGCCTGTTTTGAAAGGCTAAAATGGTAAAATCAACTTTGGCCAGCTTTCAACATTTTTCTCATTGGATCCGTGAGTGGTCTTTTATTTATTTTTTTTTTGTAGGCATTTTTTGTTAGCAGCAGTCACTAACTTCCGGTAAGTTAGGGTAACAAAATTGAGTTAGCGGGTCACGACGTACGTCTAGGTCCACATGACTCCTTAAAATTGTTGTGGATCTAGCGTAAACAGGCCAATGTGGTTTGGTTATACTGGATAATCATAACTATTAACCTATCACTTTAAAGCATTCGTGTTCTGGTTTTTTGGTTGGAGAAACCGTCTACGATTTCAATTGTTTCGTTCGTCTCAGGAAGATCTGAAAAGTAATTTTACAGCTTCGAGAGCCATTATTTTGTAACAATTGATATGTATAGAATGTTAAATTTCACATTTACAGTCCTGAACTGGTGAATTATCACAGAAATTATAATGACCAACAATGAGTCAATGGGAGATAGTTGTAATTTTTTAACCATAATGTGCTCTAACATCTCTGTGTGAAATTACTGTGAAATTTAAACTTAAAAAGTACGGACCGGGGGGTGGGGGGGGGTGGAGTGGGGTATATTTTTTATCGGACTATGGCCGAATCATTAGTAAGTCGCCTTGTGCTCCCCTTCGTTTCAAATGAAAACTGGAGTTGGAGTCGAGTTAGGTAGGGTGTCGTTTTTGCCGTTGTAAATTTACGCTAAATCGTCCGTAGCTGGCTTGGCAGAGTTTTTCGCGTCTTTCGGTACAATCGTATCTGGTAACAGGCCTGCCAGAAATAACTTCGGACCTACATAGAGCAGTACTGACGAAATGATTGGGTTACGTCTGCTCAACTTTTTAACAACTTCAACAACACCTGACCCTGACTAGTATTTACGATCTCTTTTCAATTTTTGCATACACGATCATGTAAACAAAATGAGGTGATTCATCTCAATTGATCAACATCGTCGATGTTTCGTCTGCTGTGAAAAAATTTTAACTAGCCGCTATTCTTTTCATGGATGGCCTTTTGGGGCGATTGAGGGTCCGATACAGGCTCGAAAATGGGCATCTTACTCTTTTTACGAACAGGCTTGAAAATGTTAAAGGAGGAAGACGGCAATACCATGCGATAATTGTGGTTTTTACAGTGATTGAGACCAGACAAATGGTAGCTGGTAAACGCTTACAGTATAACAACTAAAACATAACTGTCTGAGAAAAAAAAAAAAAAAAAAACGAAATTGCCTTATTTATGTTAACTTCATATAGGGTAGATGAAAACAATCTTCACATAATGAAGACTGTTAGCTTAGACACAACCTAGTTTTTACGGAGAGGTATCGTGCTTGTGTCTTTTATCTATGATACATAACGGTAAAAACGGCTTTGGGATAGGCCCCTATATTTAGAAGCCTTAACCCCGCAAAGATTCTAGTTTATTGATGACATTTAATAGAATTTATTGATAAGTGGATACAGCCAGGCACTTCCAGCCGGGTAAAGACATAGTCATCGTGTAATTTTTAAAGTCCCCAGTTATTACTGAGTATCTTGGTTTATGTCGTAAGCGGACAGACACCATCCAACTATCAGCGCCACTGAAACAAAACAGATTGCAGCTCACTTACTTATGCGTAGATTAAATGGCATGGATTTAAATATAATGGCCGATAGAATGATCTTCAACTGACAGATTATTAGCGAAGGCCAACTTCGATAAGACGGTACGCGTACCGAATTCAGTATCAGTCGCAATAAGTAGTAAATACGATGGCTCATTCAAGTGATTCCTTGTAGCAGAAAACGGAAGAAACAAACATATCTGTTACATGACAGCGCAATGAACTACAATGGCAGAAAGCCCGTTGATGGTATTCCCAGAAAATGTATCAAGACTGTTGCCGTGAACATCGTCGCCGCGTAAATTTTGTTCTGCTACTAACAATATATGCAGCCACACCCAACAGAATCAATAATATAGGGAACAAATGGTAGGCTATCAAAAACATCAGAGAAAATAACAGGGCTGAGATTAAATCAGCCAAGAAAGCGAAATTTAATACTAGCTCAATTAGACTAAAGGCGGTACTTGTTTGTATAAACAAAACATAAACACACACCAGCGAGTTCAATTCAGAGATAACGCATTTATCTTTGATTTGGCAGAGGTTCGTTCGAGTACCCCTTGGTTTTAGCCTGGGCTCGACAGGGACAAGTTTTTCGAAGATCAAAAATCGACGTTTGCTTTACACAAACTTCTAAGGCACTCGGTACTGTTCTGTTGACTATCCGCTAGATCAGTATAACTTACCGCTAAACGAAAAAGTAGATGGTACTCAATCTATTATCAGAAAGCGACCCATTTCGTACATTGCAGTTTGAGCTTTCCGTATGTAAAAGATTTGGGTATCGCAACCAAATCGATAAACTCTTTTGAGACCGTACCGAAACATAGCGCAGCAGTATTCTAATAGCGTGCCTGGTTTTCGCTGTGAGGTTTTGTAACCAGGTGATGATATAAACTCATCGGTCCTTCGAATTATATAGTGTACACCGAATTCGATACGGAACCTTGTCTGCGGCGGTTGCGTGTAAATAGCTTTCTTCACCCGTTGACCGCGGACGCATCTCTGGGGCTTTCACAGTAGGAATAGAGCTCTCCCAGAACGATCACCCACACAGCCAGCTAGCTAGCCAATCACAATGAAAGAACAGCACCAAAATGGCCTTGTTAGCGACAACAAAGCCTAGTGGACCCCCCTTGATTTGGTTAAAATGATTTCTCTACATTCAGATATACGGATCTGTCTTCTGTACAGCGAACATCGTTTCACCATTTGGCGCTCGGAGGTTACGCTCATATCTTACGTTAGAGCTTTAATGGTAGCAAAAGTAAGGCAAAAAGGTTCTTTGGCCTCATCCAGTTACAACGCACGTAGACTTTCGTCGATTACGCGCCTGTGCTTCCACATGACCATGGGATCGTCTACAATTGAATCAGGCCAAGCCTTCATTAAGCCATAGACAACAGTGGTGTGCGGCCTAAATTTGCCAAAACGTGTAACTCGACTCTAACCCAATTACAGCTGTTTTTCTAATTTATATTTTCAAATTAAGTCTGACCTGAGTACATCGTATTATCATTAGTATTTGTTAACTCCAACGTGACCCACGTAAATAGATCAATGAGTTTTACGTTTATTGTAACAATCGCTTGCTTGAGTAATCCAATCAACATACTCATCTCCTCTAGATACGCCGGGTGTTTGTGAGGCTATAGATATAGTCTTACAAACTTATACTGTTTTACATTGACCATTTCAAGCCAAAACTGAAATAACTATTCTCTATATTTCAAAGTAGTATTACTTAAGTACAAAATGCACCTCCTATCTGGTAACACATAAACCATCACTGAGTTTCCAGGCGAGAAATTGTCATAAATAATGTTCGTATATCTACATTTAAAGTAAATCGATAACGATGACAGTCCCGGCAAATGCGTTAAATTTTCCATTTTATTTTTGCCGAATGGCCAAAAAATGTACGTGGTTCGCTGTTGCTATGGTAAGATATGATGCCTATGCTGTTCAATGGTACCGGTCGATTTTCTCGGTAACTTGTAGCAATAGGGTCGTTGATAGTGAAAATCCCAGTCGATCGTTTTGTCAGACGTCAGCAATTCATTAATGTACGATTCTGTTCTAGTTCTACTAAATACATTGTATCACTTTTTCTTGTCGTGGGTCTGGCCCTTGCCAAAAATCGTATAGCATTTTTGTTTTTTTTTTTTTTGTTTTTTTTTTACTTTAGTCGCACATCAATGTAGCAGACTACCCACCTTTCATCGAGACTGCCAAAAAATGAAAGCAACAAAAGTGTTTTTCAACCGTTTCCTCTGATACTGCATCACGACCATAAACAAACAGTACGATTTCCTTTATCTGGACAGCATTTATGTTTTAACCATAATGAAACTTTAAAATATAGCCATCATCTTCAAAAAGTTTCATCTTAAATTTGAGTAAAATCATTCCAGTAGCTTTAGCATGTGTACTAGTGTCAAATACCGCTTTGCAAGTACCACCAGGGTCGACCCGTTGCGACCAGAGCCGATATCTATGAGTTTGAAGCCATATAGCTAGAAAAACAATCAACACCTTTTCGATAGCGAAACACCTATTTGGGGCATGGACGACTAGACATGCACGGGCGCAAGCAAAGCACAATTGTGGCTGTAGTTATAACGTGCTGAACTAAATTAAAAAGTACAAACATTCTTACCATTTTTAAGCAGGACACGGAACGAGTCCTTCGTCCTAAGATGGTCGACGGCCTCTTGACGTAACGTATATTCCAGCAGGGTTCCGCCTCCATCTAGAACCAAAATACGCACACACGTAAGAATAGACGAACATACATTGATACACACATTATTTTTGGATTACCCCGGGAAGTCTTTTTCCGTCAACGAGAACAATGGGCAGCATAACACAGAAGGTGTAGGTGAGTGAGCATTTCTGGTAAAAAAAAAATACAGGGGCAGCGTTGGTCTTATGTGGGTCACGATAGTTTCCTGTGGGTGGTTGTGGTGGTATGATTCATTTTCAAAATGTTATAACTCAGCCGCATTTCCACCCATTTACCCCAGGTCCTGTTCAGACGGAGTAGAAGACGAGTATCATTTACTCTATGATTAGTTAAGACCGCTATACAACAGGGGCGATATTATCAACAAGCATTGTCCTTTCTGCCACTAAATGCATGACTTTGAGGCCCGGAATCCCCATCAGGCATCGGATCGTACTACTGTTGCTACTCGTATGATTCAAACTGTGACTGCTGGTGCTAATACTGATGTTTTGTTACATAAGTTAAGAGATTAGATGCACATAAACTTAGAACGTACTAGGCCGACGGCATATTCATGACGGTGTCAATGGCCTTCTTACCCGCTAACCTACATGTACTTTACGCTGTGTAAATATAATGTAGGATACATAAAGCACTCGAGTTTTGAAGTTTGAAAAGGACCGCAGATTACATAATGATAAAGATGTATCGACCTACTATCAGTTGTGTCATAGATTTGACGGAGCTTAGGTGAGGTATAGTAATGTACATCTGCGTACTTTACTTTGCTATTATTAGTGGAATCTTAATCTAATAGAGGTGAAACACATGAAAATGAGAGGTCTATATTTAAAAAAAAATTATAGACAATAAATAGATACTATGTCCTACAATGCAACTAATTAAAATGGGGGATATTTACAATGCTCTATCGACCGCCTGACAGAGACACTGCGCTGAACATTAAACTGGCCATTAGCGAGAAATCAGTTACCTTAGGTTAACTAATACCGTCCGAATTAGCCCATCGACTTTGGGTAATTATATATCATGAGTATGTGCAGAATAGTCTAGTTTGAGGAAAGCGTGGCTAGCGCGCGCATCCAACGGAAATCGTCGTAGTGGCGTGCGCAAGACTAGGACCGGAACCTATCCTATCAGTACCTATAGGCGCCTTGTGCCTTGGGTAGGCTAAAAGCTAAAAAATTTCGAGGCAACTCTGTCGGCGAATCAGATATTACGATTTCCAGGACGATGCTGCTGTATATTTGAATGTATATTCTTCACGTTACAAATACCGTACAATCCGATAAACATGATCATATATTAAGTCAGTGTGTGAAACCGGCATTGAGTATTTATCTAGTGCTTTAAAGCCTTTCATGCAAGCTCTGTCTGTAATTTACAAAGCGAGTCGAAGCCGTATTTAAGGGCAAGCACTAAACGACCCGAATCGTTCTGCACTACCAAGTCATCATGTTTCGTCTAATGTTAGCTGTTCCAAAGGCTGGAGCTTGGGTGGTCCCGCTCGCCTTAACTAACTCGACCCACATCCACGGTCGTTGATGTCCCCGCTGAGTGGTGCCTTACCATATTGTTGCCTCAACACAATGCGTTGCCATATGTTTTCGTACTGCTCGTTCGGTGGCTTCTTCGCGCTGTCACTCTATATAAATCAGCGAGCGTGCCAGTGTCAGTGGCTGCCTGTGCTTGTCTGTGTAATTTTCTGATGACCAGAGTAGGTGTTAACATTTGCGTTCTATTCACCTACAACTGTCTGGGAGTCACCCCACCTCTTATCTTCTCCTTTGTCGTCCTTGTCGGCTTCGTTCTGGCTTTCATTCTCGATCTATGACCTTCTCCGCTTTCGGTCTCTGTGGCCTAGCAGTCAGACGCTGGAGAGTAGCATGCTGTCACCACATCGCATGAATCTATGGGGGACCGGGTGACCGGTAACTGATCGCTATAATGGGTCACTACAAATTCACACTTCGCCAGCGGCAGCTCTACGGCCGCTGGCGCCGCGATCACCGATTTTGGCCGCTACCGTTAGTCTGTCCATCGCTGTTATCGTTGTTTTTCGTCGTCGCTTTCTCTGTTTTGGTGGCCTTCTGGTGTGATGGGGGCACTGACGGCTATCGCGGACCTCATAGCATATAGCTGTACGGTAGCGGTAGAAGTAGAAGAATTGAGAGCGCCAGCAGAGTCGCACCAGTAGGACATCTGTACCCGCACGATCCAGCATCAACTCGTGTCTCTGGGTGTCAAGGATGTTAAACAAACGCGGCGAGTGCCAGATAAGGCACGATCCCGACAGCAACGTTCACACCTTACAGTTTTTTGACCGCCAACTGTAATCGAGGTAGGCGACCACTGAAAGCCGCTGGCGGATAATGTAGGCAATCGTAACGTTCTCTGGCCTGATTTCGTAGCGCAGCCTGCTTTTACTCAGGTAGTAAGCATTAGCTGTATAATGAGTTCGCGTTCGGTGACAGAGAGCAACGAATTACAGTTGCCCCAACAGGTTAGATATTTCATGGCCGAGACACAAACGCGTTCGTGTACTCTTCAATCCCCGTAGGTGAATTATGACTGTAAATTTGTTAGCGGTACAGACAACCAGAATAGTCAAGGGCGAGCCGTAATGGGTAACCATTACCGATTACGTTACAGTTCCAGCAGAAATCGCTTATGGAAACTTAAAGGATAGTAATTTACATGTATGTATATACCTGTGGGCCTTAAGGTTGTTTTCTTTGTGTAACTTGTATTAATTAATAGATGACTTGGATAGTTTCTAAGATTTCGAGCAGAGCATTAAATGCTTAAGACTAGCGCAGCGTTACCTTAAAAAATGTGCGAGTGAGTAATATTTTTTATATAACGACGTCTAAGACGTGAGTATTGCTTACGCTTAAGGCTTCAAGTGGTCCCTTCAATTCATTGAAGAGCGAAAACTCTGCTTGCACTTGAAGGACACGGATCTAGCCATAGTTTGACCATTGGCCATTGGTCTTTTACGCGTAATCCTATTTGTCCTTCGACCCTCCTCTTGATTCCGTATGCCTTTCTAACTGCCGTTACTAAATACATATTGGCTCGCTATGATAAGCTGAGAGAGCTACTAGCATGAAAAGTTTACTTTGTTGGACGGTTCTACAGACGATCGCCCAAATCGGACATCTTTCACCTTGTACAACTTTTTTCCCCGTGTACGCTTATGCATAATCGTCGTAGCAAACGCATGACGCGAATAACAACTGCACGGACCAAACACGACGGACGTTTCCACTGGCCAGTTTTTAGCTACCGACAACGCCTCACCCTGTCCCGTCACAGCCGCTCTCGTCCTGTTAACCATCTGGAAATGGTCGCAGTTCGACTGTAGTGTCGCGGTAAACATCGCTTCGTCGCTCGTGCATGCGGAAATGTCTCGATTTGCAGTACCGCAATCAGGATACGTACGTACGTACGTACGTACGTACATACATGCGTACGTAGATCCAGCATTGAACCAATCGTTCCTTGAATCTCATTTTCTTCCTCTGCCTTGTTTCCCTTCTTGATTTGGCAAGCGTTCCTTGCCATCTTGCCTTTATTCCAAAACAACGGTTCGCGATTATCCCACAAAACTTTCCCCGTTTGTAGTTTGCTTTATCTTCACTAGCGAGCGTTTTCCCCCTCGCCTTTTCATTGTCTCACCTCCCTTCCATTTACTCTTGTTCGTGTTTTTCCGCCATCACTCCGCCGTCCCCTCTAACTGATGAGACGACCGGCATTGTACGTCGGGAACGGGCCGTCAGACAGCGCCGATCGGGAGGCTGTTTATATAGCGCAACAACAACAACGACAGAGCGATGAAGACTAATCAGTGGCTTAGGTTGTCGATGCTTTGAAACCGCAGCAATTTGCCGGGGGCTGAGACAGTTCCGCTGCTGCTAGCATTGTTATTGTCGTTGCTGCAGCAGTAATGATATGGTTTTCTGTGCGCGAAGAACAGCCAATAACAAGAGTTCAAAATGCACTTATTCTCTCAGACAGCCATCTCGTGTTTTGTTTTTTTCCCCATTTTTTGGGTAAGTCAAGCTACCTATCCAACAACAATAGCGGCCGGCAGCTTACTAAATGTGTGTGAACGTCTTCGAACGTTATAGAAAAAAAAAACACTGTACCGAGAAAGAAAACTAATTCGAGAGCTCCAATTAGGCATCTTTTTTTTTTTTTTTTTTTTTTAATTTTTTCTCTATTTGTCCTAATGGAGTTCGATGAGAATAATCCATGAATACACAAAATGTCACACGGAACGAAATAACAAACGATGGCCTAACGACACAACCATAGCAGATACGATAGAAATGAATGTATCGAGTAGGTAGGTAATCGTAAAACTAGGCCAAAAAATACATCTCGAACAAAAAACAAACAGTCAATTCAATTGAATACCTTATCGAGTACATCGTGCTCAGTTATGGCCATTTTACATAGTCGATCGTGCTTTGCTACTTAAACCGTTTTCTAGCTGAAAACATCCGCTGAAGGTTAGCAAGAAAAAAATGTGTGTGTGTGTTTTTTTTTCCGTCTTAACCTTAGTATATTATATTGTATATAAAGGAAAGTTTCAAGGCGCTTTTTTTTTTTCTCTTTAATAACTACTAGCCAATGACATGCTTTAGTTGAGTGCGTCGATAATGTGAAAATTTATTTGGTATTTGATTTAATCAATTTTTTCGTTTATCCTACATCTTTGCAAACGGTCGTCGGCTGTAAAGAATATCTTCACTACATAAACTAGCCCTAAATATAACAGAACATGGCTTAGCCAAGCTTAGGAGACAAGCTTATGAGTAAACATTTATTTTCCCTAATTTTAAGCAAAAAAATCAGCGTATTTTTAGCATGGGAAGTACACAGAGAAACATGTATGGTTTTTCTCAGTTCATTTGAAAAGAATCCCTCGACAGAACAAAATGGCTCTGATAATACGTTATAAATTAGTTTTTGTGCCGACGATTAATTGATCGAAC